AAAAAAAATTCTTTTTTGCGGGGGGGTGGGGGGGATGCACAGGATGGTAATACATTAGTTAGGTACAGCTGGAATGTTTCTCCGCCCACCAAGCCCCTGCAATCCGGTGACCCGCTTATAGAGCAATCATTCAGAGGTTTAATATCATTTATAACTGCTCGGCTATTTGCTCAGGCTTTTTACTGACTAGCTCTTACACTTGAATTAACTCATAATTCTTATTTATGTTTAGCCACGTGGCTTGGTACCTTTTCTCAGTTCTGCCTTGTCATCTTGCCTCTTCTGTGTCTGGCTGGAGACTCCTGACTCAGCCCTTCCTCTTCCTGTCTCTCTCCTGGATTTCCTGCCTGGTGATAGCCTGACTCGCCATAGGCCAGAGCAGCTTCTATATTACCCAATCATAGCAACACGTATTCTCAGCATACCGAAAGACATCCCACAGTAGTTTGGTTTCTGTTGCAGTGATAAGACACCACAACCAAAATCAATTTGGGAAGAGTTTATTTCAGCTTACAGCTTATAGTCCATCTTGGAGGGAAGTCAGGGCAGGCTGCAAGCAGGAACTGAAGAAGAAAATGTGGAGGGATATTCCATCCTGGATTGCTCCCCAAGGCTTGCTCAGTTTGACTTCTTATACCTCTCAGGACTATCTGCCTAGGGATGACACTGCCCACAGTGAAGTGGACCCTTCCATGTCAATCATTTATTTAAAAATAAAAATGCCCCACAGGCTTGCCTACAGGCCAATCTGATGAGGGAATTTTCTCAACTAAAATTCCCTTTCTGAGATGATACTGGTTTGTGTCGAGTTGTCATAAAACTATCTGGCACAGGGGGAAATTTTTTGTGAATTCTCATTGGTACAGAAGTAAAAAGCCTTAATGGTTCTAGGTTGTAGACAGTTTTCAGGACATGCACTATATATATATATACATATATACATATATATATATGTATATATATATATATGTGTGTATATATATATATGCAGATATAGAGTTTGGAGTTCAAGATTTGGTTATTAATCCAAATGTACATCCTTTGATTAACAGATAAAGTTGGAATCTAAATAGATATCATATCTGGGAATATTATTCACTGATAATAAAAGAATGAAATACTGTAATATTCTATAAGATAAAGAAACCTTGAAAGCACAATACTAAAAAAAGTAAGCAAATTGCAAAAGACCACATATTTAATGATTCCATTTAAATGGAACATTCTTGAATAAACAAATACAGGGTTAGAAAGAAAAATAATTGCTGCCAGAGGCTGAGGGGGGTGGGAGAAAGGGTAGTGGTTGCTACTGGGTACAGAGGGTCCTTTTGAAAATTATGAAAACATCTTGCAATTAAATAGCAGTGATAATTGCACAACTTTGTGAACATGCTGTGGTGGTTTGAATAAGAATGGCCCCTCTAGGCTCATATATTTGAGTGCATGGTCATTGGAAAGTAGCACTACTTGTAAGGGATTAGGAAATGTGGCCTTGTTGAAGGAAGTGTGTCACTGGGCATGTGTTTTGGGATTTCAAAAACCCAGACCAGTCACAGCGTCTCTCTCTTCCTGCTGCCTATGGATCTGGATGTAGAGCTCTCAGCTACCTCTCCAGCACCATGTCTGCCTGTGTGCCTCCATGCTCCCCACCATGATGATAATGGACTGACCCTCTGAAACAGTGAGCAAACCTCAATCAAATGCTTTCTCTTATAGGAGCTGCTGTGGTCATGGTGTCTCTTCACAGCATAGAACAATGGCCAAGACACACACTAAAGCCACTAGTTGTGTGTTTAAAAAAAAAAAAAAAAAAAAAAAAAAAACAACTTTCCAGAATATAAATCTCTATAAACTTGGGTTTTTTTTTTTTTTTTTAACATTTTGTAAATGTTTTTTAGGGATCAATATCTATGAAAAAAAGGAAGAAGAAACAGGACTGCTGTGGGATAATCCTTCTGTACACTGTGTGAATATATGTCACTATGATTGATTTAATTAACAAGCCGACTGGCCAATAGCTGAACAGGATAAAGTTAGCAGGGAAAGCCAAACTGTGAATGATGGGATGAAGAAGGATGGAGTCAGAGGAGATGCCAGCCAGCTGTCGAGGAAGCAGGATGTGTAGAAAATAACATAACAAGCCATGAGCCACATGGCAAAGCATAGATAAGAAATTTGGGTTCATTTAAATGTAAGAGTTAGCTAGTAACAAGCCTCAGCTATGGGTCGAGCATTTATAATTTATATTAAGTATCCAAGTTAGTTATTTGGGAAGCAGCTGCCGATTATTTGAGAGCAGGGACAGGGAAACTTCTGCCAACCCAGGACTGCACAGAGGAAGAATTTGCCCTGTGATGCAGGATGCTAGAAGCCTCCATTAACCACGAGCTACCTTGCAAGTACTGCACATCCGAGAGCATCATTTCTGACTGATATGGACCAGTCTTTATATGCCCACCCCCCTCAGTCACCAGAGAAGGACTTCCACAGGAAGGATGAGACTCAGGTAATATGGATCAGACCCTGGAGGGGCTAACAGCTGAAATTTCTCTGCTGAGCACCCCATCCCCAGACATCAAGTCTTTCTCAGAAGAGAGCCTAGGCCACTAGGGAAGAATTTGACAATTGTTCCAGAGGGGAGGGAAGTTGAGAGAGCAATACCAATTAGCAGGACAGAGCCAAGAAGCCACCACAAGCATCAGTATCCCACCTCAGAAATTTTCTTTTACCCAGTAAGATGTAGTGTGCAGATAGAGACTCCAACATTTTTTAAAAATAAGCAATCCTATTTCTAATATTTCACTTACTTCTTCCCCTTGGGACCTTGTTTCTCCTGGAGCATTTATTTATTCAACAACAAAACAAATTTAAGGTTCATGGAAAGAGGAGAAGCACTCTTCCCTTCTCCTTACGAAGACATTAACATTGAGACATAATCTGCAAATTCATTTTTATTATTTTGAATTCTATGTCTGTGCGGGAGTAGAGGACCCACCAGATGTGGGTACTCGGGAACCCAACTCATCTGGAAGAACAGTATGGCACTCTTAACCACTGAGTCATCTCTCCAACCCCAAGGGTGTGATTTATAAATGAAGTCAATACTCTGCCTATCCAATATATGAACGAAAAGCAAATGTTCAACATCCTTAGCTATCAAGAAAACAGAAACGAAAACTACACCGAGATTCCATCTCACCCCAGCCAGAATGTTATCATGAGGAAAACAGATGACAACTATTGCTGGAGGATGGGAGGGAGACACTTTACAGGCCTGGTGGCAGAGTAGCCTGCCGTAGCCACTATGGAAGTCAGTGTGGAGGGTCCTCAAAACACTCCAAGTAAAACTGCCGTTCGACCCAGCTAGACTACATACAATGCCTGTGTATGTTCCTAAAGAACCAAAGTGAACACACTACAGGGATACCTGCTTGCCTGTACTCATTCAGCACTGCCCCCAAGAGCCAGGTTATGCAGCCAGCCTAGGTGTCATCAACAGATAACAGATACAGAGCGTGTGGTTTCTAGACACGATAGACACAAACAAGAAAAGCAGGTCATTTGCTGGAAGATCAATGGAACTGAAGATCAGTAGGCTAAGTAAACGAAGCCAGGTCAAGAAAGAACAGGCATTACACGTTTTCTCCCACATGTGGAGTCTAGATTGGAAAGAAGAACAAAATAGATGGACTGTTGGGAGGCAGGGAAGGAAGGAAGGTGTGGTGGTTTGAACGATAATGGCCCCCTTGAGCTTACATGTTTAAATACTCGGCCTCCAGTTGGTAGATGTTTGCAGAGGCTTAAGGGTTGTGGCCTTGTTGAAGTGTGTCACAGGGTGCAGGCTTTGAGGTTTCAAAAGACTCACACCATTTTGAGTGGTTCTCTGCCTCATGGTTGTGGATCAAGATGTGAGCTCTCAGCTGGTCCTTCACTCTGCTGTCAGGGACTCCAACCCTCTGAAAGTGTAAACCGAAGTGAGGGCTTTCGTTAACCTTGGTCACGGTACTTTATCACAGCAATGGAGAAATAACTAAGACCAAAGGGGACAGGGAAGGGTGGTGATGGCAGTGAATATGACCAAACTACAAAGTACAGTTGTATGAAAATGTCATAATTTATTTTGTCAAATTCATAACAATGTTTAAAAATCCTATAGTTAAGACATACATATCTACCAACAGGTGGATGGATAATGAAAATGTGGTACTTACACAAAGTGGGAAATTATCCGAAAAGAAAAGTGAAATTTATAGTAACGTGGATGGACTTGGAAAGTATGATATTAAGAGGCAACCCCAACTTGGAAAGAAGGCAACCCCATGTTCTCCCTCACATGGGGATCCTAGCCTATGTCTATGTGCAAACAGGTGAGTGCAGGATCAAGTGTAGGAAGGAAGGAAGCTGATGATGAAGAACGGAATATGGGCCAAAGGCCTCATAAAGGTGTGAAAGGACTTTTAAAGCTCATGTTTTTAACAGTTTCAACCTCATCATAGATTTTTTTTCTTTTTTTCATGGTGTATAAGTTAATTCAACGTTTTGGATATTGAAGTAGCAAGAACCATAAGGCGTGGGGGAGACAGAGACAGGGAGAGACGCTGAGCTCCATTTTTTCATGATGTCCACTCTAACTACATAGACATTTGCTGGGATGCACAGTTTGGGTCAGGGCAAGTGCTTGAGTGGCTTCCTTAAACTAGCTGAGTGGTGTTTTCATTTGTGAGTAATTAAAAGAAAGTGATTTTATTAAAAAAGAAAAAAGAGTGGATGGAGAGATGGCTCAGCAGTTAAGAGTATGTGTGCTCTTACAGCGGAACCAAGTTCAGGTTGTTCCCAGTCTCCATATCAGGCAGTTCACAACTGTCTGTAACTCCGGCTCCAGGGGATCCGATCCTTTTTTCTGTGGTCAACTTTATTGACATGCACATACCCACAGACAGACAGACGGAAACGCATGCACACATACACACACACACATACAGAGAGAGAGAGAGAGAGAATTAAAAATAAGCAAATATAAAATTGGAAAAGGAAAATACTTTTAAAGACCTATATGTGAAAGGAGAAGAAGGGTGGAGGGGAAGTAAGAGTTACCATGGAAACCAATCTGATTCAAAATCAGGTACCTCATCTACCAGCTTTTCACAGAATTGGATCCGGACACTGCAAGCAGACTGTATTTCACACACTGTACCCAGTGAAGACAACCAATAAGGAAACTGTGAATCCAGGCATCTAATAGTGCTACCTCTGCGCAAGTGTCTTCTTCCATGTATTATCTCACTTAGTCCTCTCAACAACTCCTTGAAGTAGGGAGGATGGAATTCTTACAGTGTTCATGGAACACTTGAGTCAACCAATGAACAGAGGGAGTAAGTGACTGGCTTAAGGTGCCATAGCAACTGGGAAATTGACCGAGCACACTCCAGAGATTGTACCTTCCATTGCAATAATCTTCCCATGCCCACAATAAGCTAAAGGCCAACCTCCATCACCTCCCAAACCCGGTGGCCAGAGTGGTAACCAACCACAAGGGACAAGGGAGAAATCAGAGCAGCAGTCGAAATGCTTGTCCCAGGAGGTAACAGCATCTGAGGATAGACTTCCTAGAGGAACTATTTCATTAATGAGAGTGGTTTTTAGCCAATGTACAGGATGAAGAAAACTATCTCAAGTACACCCCAGAGATGCAAGAACATATATTCACATGGCCTGACAAAGTCCAATAGTGTGACTCCAGAGAGCACACAGTAACCTTTATGTTTTTTAACTCTACTTGTGATTCCAAGATAAACTTTTAGATGGCAAGATAGGGGAGCAGATTATCAAAGGACCTTCATACAAGAGAGCATGGCATCCAGCTCAGGAGTCTCTCTTTTTGAAAATGATTTTTAAGTCACTACCACATTGGGAAATCAAGGTTGCTTGTGAGAAATGACAGTGGCTGTTTTTACAGAACTGAAGAATGGCAGTTGACATGGCTTGTGCAATTTTCTATGAAAAGTGAAGGTTCCTCAGATAGATAGAGAAACAATGTGTTTGAAAAACTGCAATTCAACCAAGTTCAAAGGATTCCTTACTCTAGGACCTCCCAAGAGGGGAGCTTACACATTAGTGTGAAGAACGGCAAGTGAGACCATCCACTACGGTTGACATTGCTCATGCCTGCAGAAAGAAGCTGATTGTGCCGAACAGTTAGTTCAGGTACGACAGACACACGGCCTGCTTGCCTTCATGTCTCCTCCTTCCTCTCTGGAGAAGATGTGACTAATCACTGTACCCTTTGCCACTGACTCCAGATATAGCCTCATAATCTATCTCTCTCTCTCTCTCTCTCTCTCTCTCTCTCTCTCTCTCTCTCTCTCTCTCTCCAACAAGCCAATACTAATGCATTATTGGTTTTTAAACAAAACAAGTTGACATAATCCTGCATGGACGAATAGACTAGATATTCTTTAGGAAGCAACAAATGAAGAAGGTTCAGACCAGAAAGAACTCCTACCTAACATCCAGAAGGGGAATTAGGGCTGGCTAGCAGATCCCGTTTGTCACTGTATCCTCAGCACCTTGCATAGCATTTGATACACGGTAAACTCTATTTGCTAAGGAGCTAACACCCACATCACATGGCAGTCATGTTTTCCCACTGTGTTTGGGTGTGTGTGGTAGTAATTACAATATATGGAGTTGTTCTATATGATGGGTTTAGTTGCTTTTTTCTTCTATTTTTTTTCTAGTTTTGTAAAAATTCCAATAATGAAGAGAATATGGGAGAATCCAACTCTAAGGACCCTGGCTTGAGTCTCCACTTTACACTTATTTGCTGTAGAGCCCCAGGGAAGTGACTGCACCTCTCTGTGCTTGGATATCTTCCTTTCTAGATGACTAGGACTGGCCCACCGTTTGAGTTTTTATACCATCTATTAATTCCTAATGCTGAAACTTTCTCATCAGTGTGTTGGTACCAAGAGGTAGGCTGTTTGGAAAATGAGTAAATAATGAAGGCAAAGCCCTAAGGGATAAATTAATGTCCTTATTAAATAAGCCACGGTAACTATTTTCATGTTGTTCTGTGTTTGGACATTGCAAGCATCATCATCTTTGAAGTCACCAACTGGAGACCAGCCCTGTCATAGAGTAAACATAATACAAAACCTCAAAAATTAAACAGTGCAACATACAAACAGACAGACAAACAAAACAGAAGAAAATGTGTAAGAGAGACCCCAATATCTAACAATGCTGTATATTTGTGTGCATATAATGTATTAGTTTAGCAGAAAATAAGCTGTGAGAATTTGAAAGTGTGAGATCAAAAGATTGAAAGCAACCAGAAAGAGGGCAAGGGACCTGCCAAGTTCAAACAGCTAGTGGATTACAGAATTGGTATTTGAATGCAGATATTCTGATTCTAAAGTCCCTTATCAGTAACTAACATTATGTTTTTCAAAACACACCAAGTGCACACCACCTTTGCTACCTCTGATATCGCCTTTGCAAAGAAAGAAAAAAGTATGTGTGTTTGCCCACATATTCATATAGAACTTCTAGACAGACACAAAAGAAAACAGACAAGAAGCAGTTTCGGAGAACATAGGATAGGAAAATAGTAATGGGGGTTACATGCATTTTTGTGAATAACATATATTTGAGCTATATGTATGTACAACTGGAGCCCAAATTGAAATAAATGCAAATACAGAAAGTGAATGCTCTTCCTAGGTAAGCTTTTCCTGAGTACCCTAAACAGGACTAGCCCACCCTCTTTGATGTGCCCGTAATAGCTATTTCTACAGGGTTTTTTTTTCATACATTGCACAGTATTCGTTTATCTTCCACTCCCCAACTCACCCAGGCACCAGCTAATCTTCGAGCTCTTCAAAGACAGGGCTCTGATTCTTTCATATTTGCCTACCCAGCACATCAGTCAGCGCCTGACATGCTTGCATCCAGTGCATGGAAAACAGAAGTAGGGAGAAGTGAGGTCACCACCCAAGTGTGTGGTATCAGCACTCCAGAAAGAGGAATTGACTGGAACTTTCATGTAACCCCAGGAATACAAAGAGGAAGTGGGGAAGAAGAAAATACAGTAAGAGTTGCAGAAAAGATGCACCTGACCCAGTGAGGACAAAGGGGTCTGAAAAGGACTCTGTGGGCCAGCGTTGATCAGGAGACTCAATACAGAATGGGTTCTGTATTGTTAGTTTTTTAAGACAGGTGTGCATTGTATACATCAGGTTTATCATCTCTGCATTTTTTTTATTTTTATTTTTTGCACATAGGAAGGCAAACATCCAGCTGAAAAAATGGCAAAAGTTGAACATGAAACTAAGACCTCAAACTAGAGGGGCTCCCAGCACTGCAGATTCCGTGTCTAGAGCCCAGTGACTAAGAGCAGCAAGCATATGAAAGACCAGCATCGGAAGAGACCCTTGCCTCTTATGAACCGTTCATATAGTTGATCTGTTGCTTTCTGCTCTATGGTACTCCTTGTATGCATTTATCCACAGGCTGAAGACAGATACACGTTAGGTTCAGGCTATATTTTTTCCAGCAGAATAAAGTGCAGATTCTCTGAGCAGGGAGGGAGTCTGACCCACTGTAGCCAGACCACTCCCACCCTTAGCAATGCTATGCCTCTGTGAGTGGCTGTGCCTGCCCTTATTGGGACTCCAAGATTCTATTTCCTTGTTTTGCTGTGCAGATCACCAAAGCTGCACAATAGACTTTATTTTAAAGATTAATACTAGGCTACATAAAAATGAGGCAAAACAAATCAGGGGTTTGCTTCAAAATATCTTAGAGGAAGGCGGTTTCTCATGTATTAATGAATCAGATGGGTTCTGTATTGTTAGTTTTTTAAGACAGGTGTGCATTGTATACATCAGGTTTATCATCTCTGCATTTTTTTGCACATGCTTAAAAATCTGCTGTATTAAAATGCTAATTAAAACAGCATGTTCTGTTTTAAGTGCTGACCTAGAATTTTAGGTAGCCAAGGATCAGATATTAATGGGCTAACATTTATCTATGAATTTTTTTTTTAGCATTTTTCCATCATCAATTTGGCAAGATTAATTATTTGGGGCACCATAACCTCTTTTTAATTGGTCTCTCTGAATAATAAGATTACTGTCTGTCTTTTCCTTCCGTATTCCTTTCTGGCTTTTCAGAATTTTTCTTTTCTATGTTCTTTATTATTAGGAAAATCAACAGATTTATTTATTATCAATATGGAGTCATGGATTTTTCACCTGTAAAATGGATTTATTTCATTATGTATAATGTTAAAATTAATTGAAATTTTACAGATAGCAGGAAGGTATTTATTTCTGTCCCCAAATGAACACCATAATAAAGGGTAAAACATAAAGTTTGAAAGGTCCACGGAATGGCCATTGGAATAGAATGTGCTTTGAGCTAAAGATGCTTCTTCCAAGAGGTGAGCCAGCTAAATGAAAAATGTCAGAACCTGAATAAATGCAGGACGGACGTGTTTGCAGAGGGAAATATTTATGCCATTACCTCAGCCCTGAATGTCACCAGCAAATACTGCAAAGTAATGAAGGAGGCCATTAAAGCAGGACCGGAAAACACCTCCAATGTTTCAAGAGACTCCCTGACATCTTAATTATATTCTGCCACCTAGTGACTAAGGAAGATTAACATACTTACTTAGCCAGGCTCCAAGTGCACAGAGGGCCACCCTGGTCTCAAGAGTCCTGGCCTGACCACTGGGGGGCCAGGGAGGAGGGAACCGGATTCTATCAGCATTTGGTGTGCCTCATCGGCCCACTACTGCCCACTACTGCCCACTACTGCCCACTACTGCCCACTACTGCCCACTACTGCCCACTACTGCCCACTACTCCCGCTGCAACTGTAGGGGAACCTGCGAACATGGCCAAAGCCACAGAAAGCTGTTCCACGGCTCCCAGACGGCCGGAGGAGCTGGACGTTCTCCTTTCCCCATCTCAGCACAACTCCCAACCCAAGGCCACCTCAAGCTCTTTGTTGAAGGCTTCCAGGTACAACAAACTGCACTGACCTCCATTGGGCATTTTCAATCCCAAAGTTCCATGATCTGAAGGTAAATACAGTGACCACTTCCGATAAGATGGGCCCAAGTTTATTTGCAAGTCCTTGAGATCTCACAAGACTGGGCATGGGAACAGGTATGACTCTTCCCCCTTCCCCCATGTGGGTGCTTTGAAGTCACATCCTCTGGCATAACACTATTTCTGTTTCAGTGAGTGCTCCCCACCTTTGAAAATGAGGTCCATAATGTATTACAATGGTTTGCAGGTAGAAGGG